GAGCTTGTCATCGTTTCTGTGACAGATGTCATCGTTTCTGTGACAGCCGGTTTTGCAGGGTTTCGCACGGTTTTTTGGTGTGCGTCGATGTCATTGTTCTGTCATCCGGGATTTGAGCGCAGGGGGAATCGAGCCCCAGGCCAGGCTGCCGAGCTTGTCATCGTTCATGACAGATGTTTGATGACAAGCTCGGCAAAACGGCTTGCTTCTTGCCATTGATAAACCAACATTGATTCAATATTGCTGTGAGTTCGAGCCCTGGAAGCCTGCAGAGCCGTTTTCTGACAACGAGGTTTTCACAATCTCCGGAAATTGGCCATTTTGCGCACTTTTTCCACCAAAAAGCCCCCGATGACAAGCGATGACAAGCGATGACAAGCAATGACAAGTTCAGCGGGGCAACGTGGGCAACGTGCAGAAGCTCCAGCAGAGGCCAAGCAGCCCGGACAATTTTGCCGGGGCAAAGTGAGGGGGACTTGAGGCGACACCCGCTGGAGCGACGCCACGCTGGACTTCTCGCACCTCACCAGCGTGTCTGGAAGGTGAAAGGAACCAAGAAGAACCATGGCCGACGCCCGCAGACAAACCGTGGACGAGGATCCCCGCACCGGCTTTGACGCATTGCACACGTGCAGAGAGAAACTAAGGTGTTTCTGAACGAGGGGCAACAACAGCTTCGTGCCTCTGAAGCCGGCCCAAGAACCCTTCCACCTTTGATCAGGTAAGCGCCCCTTCCAGAAAATTCTTGCCGCAGCCAATTTTTGCTCACACAAAAAAAGACCAGATCTAGGAGCGCCGCGAGCAGTTGAAGCCTCTGATAAGCGCCGTCCTTAAGCTCCTTCGAGGGCTTGATCCACAGCTCTGAGGCGCAGCGGCCTCCTTGCAAGCGGCCTGCAAGGTTGAGCTCCTTGTGTTGCGCAAAGCTATCTCGGCCATTTCGGGTTGGAGAAGGCGAGGTCCGGCGCCACCTGTGCAGTAGCGTGCTTTCTTCCGTTGATTTGGCTCAAAGATGTCGGACATGAGGTGCCACTGGCCCCGCCGGCCCGCTCCGGCTGCTATGCGATGTAACATGGCCTTCTTGATGGCGCGGATGGTGCGGAGTGACCCGTCTTGGCCCAAACAAAAATACTTCCCTTTTTGTACGCTCACCTGATCTGTCTCGGCCTCTCGACCCAGCAAAAAATACTTCCCTAAGATCGCCTGATTAAAGGTGGAATGATCCGTCTCGGCCCGGCGGAACCTCTCTAATCCATCTCCGGAATGCCCAATTGTACACTTCACTAATTGTCAATGTTTTTCTGCGCCGTTTTGCTGCTCGAGCCAAATGTTCGTGACATCATGGAGTGAACCTGGCTTCACCTTGCGTATTCAAAGGCTTCGTTGAGAAGAAGGAGCTGCGAGGCGGGAGATCTTCTACCTCGCCGTCTATTCTTCGTAAAAACTGCAGCTTTGTTTCTGCATCGCAACGAGGAGAACAAGGTTGGTTGCAAACCGCTCTCACCTGTTGAAAGGTGGTGGTCGTGTACCCCTCCTGGATCAGGGAAATCTGGACCAACTGTTGAAGGGTGGTTGTACACCTTGCCCGGATCAGAGAAGTCCGTGATTCGATCTTTTCTGTGGTGGTGCTTTTGCATATTCCTTTGTCTACGACTTTGCTGGATCGCGGAGCTGTACCTCTTCAAGATGGGGGATGACTTCATCAACTCGGAAGAGTGCCTTTTCGTTTCTCCATCAAAGGCCAGGCGTGGGGCTTTCTATTCTCCATCACCGGTTGAGAAGTATGTGAAGGGGCTGCAAGGAAGCAGACCCATTCCAAGAATAGACGAAGAATGCTCGGAAGCGATTGCTGCGAGATGGATTGCGGAAGCCGGCCTGCGTTATATGCAACGTCTGCGTGTTTCTCCAGGAAGACTACACAAGTGCAAAAGGGCTCCGGATACTCGGTATCATGGTGCAGCAACTTCATGAAGGCCATCGTGAACCATCTCTCCCAGGTGGAATGATTTCTGCGGAAAAGGGAGAAGGTTGAAGCAGACAAGCAGACTCCGTTGTGGCCTCAGAGAACTCGACGAAGGAGAAGGCCGCACCCACCCTCAAGCTCATCATCAACATTTGGGAGTTGATGACGGCGCTCACGAAAGATACTGATGGGCAGCCTGGCACCAATGTGGTCAGTGAAACCGTTGGCGACGTCTATCGATATTTCCACGAACGCCATGGACAAGCACGAATGCGTGCGGAAGGCGCTCACTGACGCTCTGGTTGGAGAAGAGTGAAAAGAGGTTCACTGCGTTCCGGGATGCGTACTGGGTCCAAACCTACTGCGCTCCGAAGGCAAGGGTGTGCACCGTGGTCAACGGCGTTCTAGACAAGGACGAGGTCCGCAGGAACCGCGAATATGTGCAGAAAAACCTGGAACTGCTCACCCTCTCTGCCAAGTATGTGGCTTTCGCTGCTAGACGCGAACCGCAATGCGCAGCCAAGAACATCTTGGAGCTGACGATCGCCGGGAAGATCAAGAACATCCCCACTATCCCCGATGCCTTGTTCGCTGCGTCTATTGCTATGGGATGCGTCATATTCCTACATGCAAGACTTAGAGAGATCTTTGGGGGCAATGATCGTGAGAGAATGGAGTATGTTGGCGGCGACAAGACCATCATCAGGGATGTTGACGCACAGCTCAACAATCTCAATAAGGTGTTCCCTGTCATGGCCAAAGCCTGGGAGATGAAGTTGCCTGCAACATGTACACCATATCCGTTGCGCCGCGTGGCGAAGATCGTACCAATGAAGAAGCGAATCGCTTAACGTGGGAATCGTTCATTGTGCTGCAGGACAACCAGACTGTGGATGAACAACAACAGCGCGCCTTCATCAACAATTTGCTGTACTCCAGAGATGGCGCCAACAATTCATCGACATCTTCGACGAAGATTTCGGCGAAGCCGCCGGGAAAAGAGCAGGATGACGGAACGGTTGTCAACGCGACCATCCAAGCGATCCTGGAGATTTCCGCAAAAGGGGAAGACGACCGATGGGTCAGGCCGGAGAAGCATGATGTGAACGAATCAGTAACCGTCATCAAGCAGTGCGCCGCTTTCGGCAACCTCAACATTTGGGTTAGCTTTGCGTTGCGCAGAAAATCCGGAGTTGTCATGCCCATCACAAAATTTGGACCAGAAGTCAAAGCGGGGAAGAGCGCATCTTACTGGGAACGGTATTTGCGGCATTTGGTGTCAACATTGCTCATCTTCGACGAGAGACGATGAAGATGCGGGAGTTTGTCCGGACAACCCAGAAGAGGATGCGGACGCAACTCATCTCTTGCAAGTCGAAGGACATTGCCTTTGTCAGCGACACGATGTTCCGATGCGTCGCCATTATTTGCATTCAAAGCGTCAAAGAGGTCGACGCTCCTCTTATCCAATGGTGCTTTTCTCGCCCCTCGCGCTATATCGAGAAGATCAATCGAACCGAGGAGACACCGCAGTCTCTGTTAGAAAGGTTCCGGTGGAGGGCGAGTAGAAAGGCCATCGCAGAATCATCGCATTAAAAATCAAGCATTTCCTTTACGATGTCTTCTACGTGGGGGATCAACTGGAATTTGCAATTCTACACAACGGGATCGTGATACTCATCGTGCGTGGTATCATGGCCGGCCCTGGTGGCACTCGTCGTGCACGGTACACTGGGCAAACCAAAAGTATTTGCACGACTTGCGACTTATCGCCACAGAATGTTTTCTTGTTTCCGTACAGTATCGTCGTCGGCGACTACTATTCTGGAGATGTTAGGTATTTGGTGGTCAACGATTGTTCATTGTAGCATTACTGGTTACAAATTGGTGATGGACTATGCTCGTCATGGATATTCATTTTCTGCAGGCTGCTCTGGATCTGTATAATTAGCTTATAGATAGCTTGCTGCATGTGCACCATTGCGCATGAGGTCCGGTAAGAGACTTGTATGTAGCGTTCTCATTTCATGTTAAGTTTACAGAACCTGTTTCACTGAATTGAAAAAGAGAAGCCGTGCGTCCATGCGTGTCGGCATGCGTTTGTGATTGGTTCCCGACCCAGGGATGAACCCAAGCCCGGGATGGGGGATGCTAAGAATCTCCGAGCCGCAGGCTAAAACACCCTATTACTTCCCCTTGTTTAAGGTCCTAAACCTTTGAGGGAATTGTGTTTTGTTTGCAGCCGACATGTACATGTGAATGCATTTGGCTCAAGACCTTGATAACAGAATCGAGGCAAACATCCAAACACAGCTGTGAAGCAAAGCAAAAGGGTTCGTATTCCGCGGTCGCATCGAGTCGTGAGACGACGCAGATCATTTACCTTACAACCCCCTCTTACCACGACCACCACTATACGACTTACTGTCGAGGGTGTTGGTGGTGGCTGCTTCTCGGCCTATTGGTGGCAACGTGCCGGAGCCTTTTTTTGTTGAACAAGTGCACGGGCTGTCTTGGCAGCCCCCATTCGTGGACAACCTCCTGTGTGCCTTGGAATTCTTGCGGGTTTGCGACTTACAAGGGTTCCACCACGTGGGTTCCACCAGGTTCTGCAAGGGCTGTGGGGTGGTGGAATTGCCTTACTAAGCGGTTTTATTTCATTGCGTTGCAGAATGCAAAGTCCTGTTCTTTAAGTTTCGTAAGGCGTTCAGAGAACCCTCACGAGCGGATGGTGGGCATGCAATGGGCCAACCGAATAATTAAACAATCTGTGCTCACAATCATACCCAGGCAAACTTCACCCGATTGTGGCGTTCGTGCAGAAAACTAGCGGTGAGTTGGAGAATCAGAGCTCTACATGACATGCCATGCTTTCGGCTTTGCTAGCTTGAAATGTTTTCCTGCGGTCACGCGTTAGCAGCAGTAGTCAGACACAGACACAGCTGTCACGCTCATGACACCAGCGTGCCAGTTCATCCCCATACCCAGATAGGTGCCACGCACACACACACACACACACACATCGACACATACATACACGCAGACAAGCACATCGGCATGAAAGCGCGCCATGCCAAGTCCAAGCCAAAGACCAAGCCTGGCAAGCCCGAGCCTTCGAGCGGAGATCGCCTCGTGGCGAAGGCGAAGGTGAAGGCGACGCCCAAGTTGCCCTTCCGGACGTTGTCGTACCAGCAGCACCAGCAGTGCTTCGCCCCAGCCAGGCCCAGTCAGTGCCCGGAGGGCTACAGAGCCAGCGACTTGCCCCGGGTGGCCTGGCTGCCCCCCGGCTGGGGCCAGGTGGTCAAGGACAGCGAGGATGGCAGCCGGAAGATGTATGTCGCCCCCCCGGAGCTGAATTCAAAGATCATGACCAACAAGCTGAATGTGGAGCTGGCGGTGGGCAGGAAGCTGAAGCCCATGGATGAGCATGGTGTGCACTTGGGCGAGCAATGCATCAGGAAGTGGCCAAAGTGGTTGCCGCTGGACTGGCGTATTGGGTATTTGAGAACCGCTGGAGGTGTGGTGAAGCCATGCTTTTTGAGCCCCGATGGTACAAGATTTATGGAGAAGAAGGCCGTGTTGGCCCACAAGACCGGGAAGGACAAAGCGACGGAGACGGGCGGAGCCGCGCCTGACTCGACTGGATCCAAACCCCGCCAGGGTCGTTTCCTGAAGCGCGGGCGTGCACGCGCAAGTCAACAAAGAAAGGGGCCCAAAGACTCGAGCGCCCCGGTGATCTTCCGCAGCTTCACGCCCCAGCAGCTTCTGGACTGCTTTGGGCCCCCTCTAGGCAGTTGCACCACGCCTCCAAGTCACTGGCCCGAGGATCTCAAGGTCTCGGAGCTGCCGCGGATCAGCTGGCTGCCGCCCGGCTGGGGCCAGGCGGAAAAGAAGGATGGCCACCGGCGGAAGCTCTACGTGGCCCCGCCCGAGTTGGGAGGCAAGGTGGTCTTCCACCGTGAGAATGTAGAGGTCTTGGTGGGGCGCAAGCTACGGCCGATGGACCAGACGGGCGTCGACTTGGGGGAGGATTGTGTGAAGGTTTGGCCCAGCTGGCTGCCCAAAGATTGGCAGATCGGCTACTTCAAGGCGAAGGGGGGCGTCAAGCCTTGCTTCTTGCATCCGGATGGCACCAGGCATATGGACAGGCAAGCTGTGCTCGCCCGCTTGAATCCCGATCGGAAGCCCGAGGACACCAAAGCAGCTGAGAAGAAGATGAAGCTTGGGCCTTTCGCTCACCGCCAAGCGCAGAAGCTCCAAAACCGGGTGATTTCTTCTCTCAGAGCACAAGCAGCTGATGTGGAGAGTGAAGAGGAGGATCCCAATGAATCCGGCATTTTCCGAACTTTCACCTACCAGGAGCTTCTGGATTGTTTCGCGCCTCCTCTGGGTGAGTGCACGACCCCTCCGGGTCACTGGCCGAAGGATCTCAAGATTTGCCCCTTGCCGCGGATCAGCTGGCTCCCGCCTGGGTGGGGGCAGGCCATCAGGGTGGGGAAGCAGGGGCGGAGGTACAAAGTCTTCGTGGCCCCCAAGGAGCACGGCAGCCTGGTGGTGAACAGCAAGCAGTCTATGGAGGTGGTCCTGCAGTCCAGGCCGCGGGCACTGGATCAGCACGGCAAGCCTTTGCGCCTGCAGGACGCGTGCATCGAACGCTGGCCCCAGTGGCTCCCGCGCGACTGGCGGATCGCGTACTTCAAGGAGGAGGGCGCGGTGAAGCCGTGCTTTCTGTGTCCGGAGGGCGGGCAGTTCCTGCAGAAGGAGGCGGTCTTCGCGCGCATGCGGGAGCTGCGCGCACAGCGCCGGGCGGAAGAGGCGCAGGCCCAGAAGGACAAGCTGAAGAAGCGGCGCCTGAGACCTTGCAGAGATGTGGTGGATGACGCTGACATTGGCGAGGTGCAGCAAAGAGCTGAGTCTTCGTCTGTGGAACCTTCCCCAGAATTAGCTCCCCCTTTATTTTGCTCTTTTGGGGTCCCTTTGTTTTCCACTAACCAGGCAAAAAAGATATTTTTTTGCTGGGGCCCTATTGCCAGCCTAGGAACCAGCAGGAATCCAGATGCGGCAATCTGAGGCTGCAGAACCAGTTGCATTGCAACAGGCCGACCCGACTGCCTTGGCTGATGAGAGGCATGAGACTTCCCGACGACGGAAAAGGCAACTTGCGAGCGGGCCGCAGAGGTGTTGCTTCGACTTGTCCAAGCTGAGTGATGATGACAGAGAATGGCTCACCAAGCACCCGCTGTGTCTTGGTGGCTTTTTGGTGCGACTTCTCGTTTTTTCTTCTTCTTTTCCTTCCGCACCGCTCGTTCCACTTTTTTCGCGGCCGAAGATCGACAAAGTCAGGAGATATCGAAGAATAGGGGACCACCATTTTTTTCTTGGGGGGGGTTCCCTTGGGCACATGAAAGCCCGCTGTAGTGTCTCCCATGAACATCACCCCAAATGTGGCCACTCCCCCCCAAACTAAATGATAAATCATTCTAAAACAAATAATCTAAAAACACATAAAATAATAATATTAATAGTAATAATACTAATAGTAATAATAATAATAATAATAATAATGAGCAAATCAAAACAACCCCAAATGTTCACCGACTCAAACCAAACGATTGTCAGGTACGACAAGATCCACCGCCGGGGCTATCCGCTGCCCTTCGGCGACCAGGAGATCCTGGCGCTGCGGGCCTTCACTCCCCGGGAGCTGGGCGGCACCGCGGACCTCAGCTTCTGCTAAGCGCCGAAAAAATAGCCGGGCGGAAGGAAGCGGGGGCTTGCGCGGAGTGGGGGAGATCGGAGGTGGCCATGGGAGTCGTGACCTCTGCCTTCTTTTTTTTTTGGGGGGGCGGATGAACCCCAGGGGTACCACCTATGTTGATGTTCAAAGGTGGGGTTATGTGGGTATGGGTGAAAATTAAACAACCAGGAAGTGGACCGCAGGTTTTGGTGCTTGGATCCATTTGGCAGGGTTCCGTTTTGGGTACATCATTTTGACCCACAGCCATGTGGCCATGGGAGTCATAACCTATGCCTTTTGTTTTTGGGGTGGATGAACAGCCATGATTGCCACCTATCTTGATGTTTATGACGGGTACAGGGTTTTGACCCACGGCCAAAGTTGGGGAGTTGTTTGGAATGGTTTTCAAAACCTCGTGAAGTAGTTCTCATTGTTTGTAGAGAGACAGAGGGGGCGAGGTGGGTGGTGGTGGTGGCGGTGGCGGTGGCGGTTGCGGGTTTGTCCCCCTTTTTTGAGGGCTTTTATTTGAAGCGGATGTTTTGGGCATTCCCCAGCATTTTGACAGACCCTGGTGGGGAAGTTGTTGGTTTCAAGACTCTTGGATATCGACGTTTCTAGGGTAGCTTCTGCAGTGGAGGGGTTCCACTGACCTTAATGCCAGGAGCATGAGTCAGACAGATGAACGGTGCTGTCTGTGCCGTCATAGGCTGTTCGGAAGATTTGGTTGAAGGCAATCAAAGCCACCCTTTGGAAGGTTGGCAAAAGCAAAGTTTGCACCTCTTACTTGCTCCAGCTTAGAAAAGACCAAGTCTTCACCCGCGCGTTTGATCTCAAGCAGGATGCAAGAGCACTCGATGCATTTTCCCTGTACAGACGCACACACATCCGGAGGTCATTCAGCTTTTCCGAAGCACCCAGCAAACAAACACCTAAACGCAGCCCTTCATATTTTTTGGAAGCTTTGTTTTCGTCAACTCGAAGGGGAGTTACCCAAGAAGCCCACAGTGCCAATACCACGAGCTCGTTCAACACCTCTTCATGGATTCCATGCTTTCTGATCTGCATTCTGTCGAGGCGGGCGTGCGAAGTGCACACTGTTTCCTAGGGCCCCGGTCTCTCGGTGATTTCCTTCAGGGAACTAAGCTGGAGAAACAGCACAGAACTTTCATCAGTTGGCCAAGCTTTACTGTGACTGGGCCTCAGGTTGACGGATGGGGCATTTTGCCCATGCAAGCTTTCAGCACCTTGGCTGAACACAGCCTTTGCATGTCCGCAACGAACCGTCCGACGCCTGGCCCGACGCCTGGCAAGTTTGCGGGCGCCCTGCAAGCTTAGAATTGTGCACAGGAACCGACCACAATCGGGGCGCAGACCTGAGATGCAACATGCACCGTAAGAAAGCCGGTTCACGCGTGGTCTGAGGTGTGTTCAGTGGAGAGGTCAGAAATCCGCTTGCGCAGCAACTTGACTGCATGCGAATTCTGTGGCGCGCGAATTTACAAAGCTTGCTGGAGCCACAGGCTGATTGGAACGACCAATGCGACAACCTTGACAAAGAGGCTGGCTCATTGTCTTTGAGCCGGCAAGGGCGCAGCGCATTGCATTTGGACTCGAAGGTTCGCCGTGAGATAGCGAGTGCGGATCCGACGCGGCTTGCTCAGCTGGAATCAATATGCGTGAGTGCAAGACAGGTCCTTTGAAGGCGGCGTGGCCAAAAGGCAAGCGTTGGAAGGTCCGTTCCACTGCACTTTCTCCATGAAACCCAGGTTCCTTTCAGCGCACCCAAGAAACAGCCATAGGAACGGAGGCTCCTTTTAGGAAGGTGCCATCCCTTTTTGGATTAAGACAAAGACCGGCAGTGGGGAAAGACCGGCAGTGAATCCGAGCGTTCAAGGCCCGGTCTGCTGGTCCTGGCTCTGGTGGCGACGATTCTGAGCTGCTGGTCTTGGATTGCGGGCGTGAAGTAATGTGGCAATGTGAATTCTATGGGAACCTCATTGAGAAGCACGAGGGAACCCACCATCAGTAGGGACCACTGTCCTTGCCCATTGGTCTCTTTTGCTCGTTTCAATTATATGGCCTACAAGGAAAAGGCCTCAATTTAATCCGAGTTTCCCTTTTCCACGGCTGATGTTTTTTGTTCTCAATTGTTCGGCTGGATTGTTTCGGGGAACTCCCGAGCCGTGCGCCGTGAGCCGAACGTCTCCGAGGCTTCTTGATCCTGCCCAGCGACTGGGGCGACGGAGTGGACTCGCCTTCGCGGATTACCTCCGAGGCCGGATCTGTTGGGAGCCGTTTGGGTGCTAAAGCGATGGAATGTGGCCAGACGCTGTTTTTTTTCTTTCTCTTGTATCTTAGAGGGGTGCCGCAAATGGCCATCCCTATTGTCCTTGTTTTTTTGGTATCTTACAGAGGGGTGCCTTGGTGTTTTCGCCTTTTCTTTGGGAGCTCGTGGATGATCGGATGAAGACGCCCAGCCGCTGTGAACTCTCGAGGCAGTGGATGCCTCTACCTTCCCAGCGCCCGCCCGGTGCCCAGATCCAAGGAGCCGTTTTGAGTGGCTCAGAATTTGGTTGGTTCAGCTTTGGTTTCCTAAGTGCAGCTTTCTGTTGGTTTAGGGTGGTTTAGGGTTGGTTTAGGGTTGGTTTACCCTCCCACCTAAGATGGAAGTGTTCAAAAGTTGGCACTTTCCAAGAGGAAAGTAGTTTGTTTTTTTCTACATGGGTCTGTGCACTTCCATGTTAGCTGGTGGGAGGGTAATGGAGGGCCATTTTTTTTAGGTGTTTTTTTCGTATTTTTTTAGGAATTATTTTTGCTTTTCAGGGTCGGTGGCTTTTCGGCTTTTTGGCTTTTGTGGCTTTTACGTGGGTTTTTGTGGCTTTTGTGGCTTTTCATTTCGCATCATCTGCATTCACAGTTCCTCTCTTTTCGCATCCTCTGCATTTCCAGTTCCACTGCGGCAGGTGGCTTTTTGGCTTTTTGGCTTTTTGGCTTTTGGCGGCTTTCTGGCTTTGGCTTTTCGCATCCTGATGCTTTCCCAGTTGGTTTTTGGCCTTGGCTTCCTGCATCATCAGCATCGCAAGTTCCTCTCTGGGCCCCCCGCCACCCCCCTTTCGATTAAAATGCACGCCTAATTGAATCATCACTTTTTCGATCATCATGCGACAGCTACTTTTTAGATTCTTTGCCCCTATTTTTTCGATCATCATGGGGGGGGTGGCTGCCGTTTTACAGGGATTAGTTTGCCCGTATTTGAATCCTCACTTGTACCATGAGGCCTTGCCGCAGAGGAACTGATGACCCCCCTGCTGCTTTTTTTATAAATATTTTCTTGGCCCTAATTGAATCATCACTTTTTCAATCATCATGGGGGGGGCTGCCGCCCCCCCCAACCCCCCCGCGATTTTTTGGACTTTTTGCCCCTAATTGAATCATCACTTTTTTCGATCATCATGCGACCGCTACTTTTTAGATTCTTTGCCCCTAATTGTTCGATCATCATGGGGGGGCCCCCGCATTTTTTGGACTTTTTGCCCCTGATTGAATCATCACTTGTTCGAGCATCATGGGGGGGGCTGCCGCCCCCTCATCACTTGTTCATTCATCATGGAGGGAATTGCCCCCCCCCCCGTTTTAAGTGTTTTACAGGGATTAGTTTGCCCGTATTCGAATCCTCACTTGTACCATGAGGCCTTGCCGCAGAGGAACTGATGACCCCCGGCTGCTTTTTTTTTAAATATTTGTTGGCCCGTTTTGCATCATCACTTCTTCAATCATCATGGGGGGGCTGCCGCCCCCCCCCAACCCCCCCGCTATTTGTTGGACTTTTTGCCCCTAATTGAATCATCACTTTTTCGATCATCATGCGACCGCTCCTTTTTAGATTCTTTGCCCTTAATTTTTCGATCCCCGCAATTTTTTTAGACTTTTTGCCCCTGATTGAATCATCACTTTTTCGATCATCATGGGGGGGGCTGCCGCCCCCCCCAACCCCCCCGCGCCTTTAATTGAATCATCACTTTTTCAATCATCATGGAGGGGATTGCCGCCCCCCTAGGTGTTTTACAGGGATTAGTTTGCCCGTGTTTGAATCCTCACTTGTACCATGAGGCCTTGCCGCAGAGGAACTGATGACCCCCGGCTGCTTTTTTTTTAAATATATTTTCTTTGCCCTACTTGAATCATCACTTTTTCAAGCATCATGGGGGGGCTGCCGCCCCCCCCAACCCCCTCGCTATTTGTTGGACTTTTTGCCCCGAATTGAATCATCACTTTTTCGATCATCATGCGACCGATCCTTTTTAGATTCTTTGCCCATAATTTTTCGATCATCATGGGGGGGGCTGCCGCCGCCCCCAACCCCCGCGCAATTTTTTAGACTTTTTCAATCATCATGGGGGGGGCTGCCGCCACGTTTTAGGTGTTTTACAGGGATTAGTTTGCCCGTATTTGAATCCTCACTTTTACCATGAGATGCGGGAAGCCAATTTGCTGGTGATGCTGGGGATGTTGGCTGGACATGCGGGGGATGTTGAAAACGATGCTGATGATGTTGACGGACTAGCCATGCTGTAAATTACAGCATTTTAGTAGCCAGGACGGAAAACAAAAAAAATCCCAAAATACAACAAAAAAAAATCCCAAATTAAATCTCGACCCGAGGGTAATCGTTTGTTCCTTTTTTCAGCGCAGTTTTCAGTTGGCTAGGCTGGTTTAGGGTTGGTTTAGTGTGGGTTTGGGTCCACATTCTCTTCATGCTCCTACGAGTTGCACCCTTCCAACCCGTTTTGAACTCCCGAGGCTGAGATCCAAGGGGAGTGTTTCGATCCCAGAGCCCAAGTTGTTTTCGAGTGTAAGAAATACAAACTCGAGACGCAACCTTCAACCACAGAAAGCTGAACGTCCAGGACTCATCATACGATGTCTCCTCTCTTTTCGCGGGCCTGCAGGTTCCAGGGACCGGCATTCGTCCCGGAGAGAGTTGGCATGAGTCACCTAGAACCAAG